CCACCCACCGTCAGCCGCCACCACCCACCGTCAGCCGCCACCCGCCACCACCCACCACCAGCCGCCACCCGCCACCACCCACCACCAGCCGCCACACGCCACCACCAGCCGCCACCCGCCACCACCCACCACCAGCCGCCACCCGCCACCACCCACCACCAGCCGCCACCAGCCACCCACCACCGCCACTCACCACCCGCCACCACCACCGCCACTCACCACCCGCCGCCACCACCCACCACCAGCCGCCACCCGCCACCACCCACCACCAGCCGCCAGCCGCCACCCACCACCAGCCGCCACCCACCACCAGCCGCCACCCGCCACCACCCACCACCAGCCGCCACCACCCACCACCAGCCGCCACCCGCCACCACCAGCCGCCACCCGCCACCCGCCACCACCCACCACCAGCCGCCACCCGCCACCCGCCACTACCCACCACCAGCCGCCACCACCCACCACCAGCCGCCACCCGCCACCAGCCACCGCCACCCACCACCGCCACTCACCACCGGCCGCCACCACCCACCACCCGCCGCCACCCGCCACCCACCACCAGCCGCCACCCGCCACCACCCACCACCAGCCGCCACCCGCCACCACCCGCCACCACCCGCCACCAGCCACCGCCACCCACCACCGCCACCCACCACCGCCACTCACCACCCGCCGCCACCACCCACCACCAGCCGCCACCAGCCACCGCCACCCACCACCGCCACCCGCCGCCACCACCCACCACCACCACCCGCCGCCGCCACCACCACCACCCACCACCACCGCCGCCGCCACCACCCATCACCGCCGCCGCCGCCACCACCCACCACAGCCGCCGCCGACGCCACCGCCACCACCTACCACAGCCGCCACCACCACCCACCATCACCACCACCACCCACCACCGCCGCCACCACCAGCCGCCACAAGCCGCCACCGCCCGCCACCGCCCGCCACCAGCCGCCATCACCACCACCACCACCACCAGCCGCAATCACCGCCACCAGCCGCCACCAGCTGCCACCACCACCAGCCGCCACCACCACCACCACCAGCCGCCATCACCGCCACCAGCTGCCACCACCACCAGCCGCCATCACCGCCACCAGCTGCCACCACCACCAGCCGCCACCACCGCCACCACCAACTGCCACCAGCCGCCACCACCGCCCGCTATCAGCCGTCACCGCCCGTTGCCACAGTCGCCACCGCAAGCCGCCACCGCCAGCCGCCACCACCCACCACCAGCCGCCACCCGCCACCACCCACCACCAGCCGCCAGCCGCCACCCACCACCAGCCGCCACCCACCACCACCCACCACCAGCCGCCACCGTCACCACCCACCACCAGCCGCCACCCGCCACCACCCACCACCAGCCGCCACCCGCCACCACCCATCACCAGCCGCCACCCGCCACCCGCCACCACCCACCACCAGCCGCCACCCGCCACCACCAGCCGCCACCCGCCACCACCCACCACCAGCCGCCACCCGCCACCAGCCACCGCCACTCACCACCCGCCGCCACCACCCACCACCCGCCGCCACCCGCCACCCACCACCAGCCGCCACCCGCCACCACCCACCACCAGCCGCCAGCCGCCACCCACCACCAGCCGCCACCCACCACCACCCACCACCAGCCGCCACCCGCCACCACCCACCACCAGCCGCCACCCGCCACCACCCACCACCAGCCGCCACCCGCCACCACCCATCACCAGCCGCCACCCGCCACCCGCCACCACCCACCACCAGCCGCCACCCGCCACCACCAGCCGCCACCCGCCACCACCCACCACCAGCCGCCACCCGCCACCAGCCACCGCCACTCACCACCCGCCGCCACCACCCACCACCCGCCGCCACCCGCCACCCACCACCAGCCGCCACCCGCCACCACCCACCACCAGCCGCCACCCGCCACCACCCGCCACCACCCGCCACCAGCCACCGCCACCCACCACCGCCACTCACCACCCGCCGCCACCACCCACCACCACCGCCGCCGCCACCACCCATCACCGCCGCCGCCGCCACCACCCACCACAGCCGCCGCCGACGCCACCGCCACCACCTACCACAGCCGCCACCACCACCACCCCCCACCGCCGCCACCCACCACCGCCGCCACCACCAGCCGCCACAAGCCGCCACCGCCCGCCACCGCCCGCCACCGCCCGCCACCAGCCGCCATCACCACCACCACCACCACCAGCCGCCATCACCGCCACCAGCCGCCACCAGCTGCCACCACCACCAGCCGCCACCACCACCACCACCAGCCGCCATCACCGCCACCAGCTGCCACCACCACCAGCCGCCATCACCGCCACCAGCTGCCACCACCACCAGCCGCCACCACCAGCCGCCACCACCGCCACCACCACCTGCCACCAGCCGCCACCACCGCCCGCTATCAGCCGTCACCGCCCGTTGCCACAGTCGCCACCGCAAGCCGCCACCGCCAGCCGCCACCAGCCCCCCCCACCGCCGATCGTCACCACCCACCACAGCCGCCGCCGCCCGCCACCGCCCGCCACCGCCCGCCACCCCCCGCCACCGCCCGCCACCACCCACCACAGCCGCCACCACCCGCCGCCACCACCCACCACCACCCGCCGCCACCACCCACCACCACCCGCCGCCGCCGCCACCACCACCCGCCACCACCGCCGCCACCACCCACCACCACCAGCCGCCGCCGCCACCACCACCCACCACCACCACCACCACCCACCACCACCGCCGCCACCACCCACCACCACCAGCCGCCGCCGCCACCACCACCCACCACCACCGCCGCCACCACCACCCACCACCACCGCCGCCACCACCCACCACCGCCAGCCGCCACCACTCATCACAGACGCCGCCACCCGTTACCGCCCGCCACCACCGCCAGACACAGCCGCCAGTGTCCGCCACCGCCGCCACTGTCCGCCACCGCCGCCACTGTCCGCCACCGCCGCCACTGTCCGCCACCACCACCACTGTCTGCCACCGCCACCACTGTCCGCCCGCCGCCACCACTGTCCGCCCGCCGCCACCACTGTCCGCCCGCCGCCACCACTGTCCGCCAGCCGCCACCACTGTCCGCCCGCCGCCACCACTGTTCGCCCGCCGCCTCCACTGTCCGCCCGCCGCCTCCACTGTCCGCCCGCCGCCTCCACTGTCCGCCCGCCGCCTCCACTGTCCGCCCGCCGCCTCCACTGTCCGCCCGCCGCCGCCACTGTCCGCCCGCCGCCGCCACTGTCCGCCCGCCGCCACTGTCCACCACCGCCGCCAAAGCCGCCACGGTCCGCCCGCCGCCACTATCCGCCACAGCCGCCACTGTCCGCCCGCCGCCACTGTCCGCCCGCCGCCACTGTCCGCCCACCGCCACTATCCGCCACCGCCGCCACTGTCCTCCCGCCGCCACTGTCCGCCCGCCGCCACTGTCCGCCCGCCGCCGCCCTGTCCGCCCGCCGCCACTATCCGCCACCGCCGCCACTGTCCGCCCGCCGCCACTGTCCGCCCGCCGCCACCGCCGCCACTGTCCGCCCGACGCCACTGTCCGCCCGCTGCCACTGTCCGCCCGCCGCCACTGTCCGCCCGCCGCCACTGTCCGCCCGCCGCCACTATCCGCCACCGCCGCCACTGTCCGCCCGCCGCCGCTATCCGCCACCGCCGCTACTGTCCGCCCGCCGCCACTGTCCGCCCGCCGCCGCCACTGTCCGCCCGCCGCCACTATCCGCCACCGCCGCCACTGTCCGCCACAGCCGCCACTCTCCGCCGTACAGCCTCCCCTCTCTCCGTTAGTAAATAATTATAATTGTTAGTAAATAATAAAAGAAATATAAATTATTAGATTTTTTTTACCCTTAAATTGGTTTTAATATTTAAATTGAAAATAATAATATAATATAAAATATAATAAAAATAATATAATATAAAATATAATTTAATTTCAAGAAATTTAACTTTAAACACAAAGATGTGAAAAGGGTTCAGATTATTGGCTCAAACCTTTCATAAGAGATTCATATTGGTATATGAATGGATTATGAATGACTCATGTTAGGAGTGTAAAGTTACCACAACATCTCAAATTAGTGTTAGATACATATGTCTTGGTTATAAGTTTTGGAAACCTATTTAAGTCCACACACAATATCGTATCTGATACGATAAAACAAACGTTTCCAATACTTTCAAATACTTTCCAGATATGTTGTGGCAACCTAAAATTGTTTGCTGGGTATATATAATAAGCTTCAGGCACGAGCTGAAGCTTCAAGCTTAAGGGACCTGCTGAAGCCTCAAGCTGCAAGGACGTACTTAAGCCACAAGCTTCTGAGACGTTCTGAAGCCTCAAGCTGCACAGACTTCCTTAAGCCACAAGCTTCAGAGACGTGCTGAAGCCTCAATCTTCAGGGACGTGCTGATGCCTCAAGCTTCAGGGACGTGCTAAAGCCTCAAGCTTCAGGGACGTGCTGAAGACTCAAGCTTCAGAGACGTGCTGAAGCCTCAAGCTTCAGGGACGTGCTGAAGCGTCAAGCTTCCTGGACGTGCTGAAGCGTCAAGCTTCAGGGAAGTGCTGAAGCCTCAAGCTTCAGGGACGTGTTTAAACCACAACCTTCAGAGACGTGCTGAGGCCTCAAGCTGCAGGGACGTGCTTCAGACACAAACTTCAGAGACGTGCTGAAGCCTCAAGCTTCAACGACGTGTTGAAAACTCAAGCTTCAGGGACACGCTGAAGCGTCAAGCTTCAGGGACTTGCTGAAGCCTCAAACTGCAGGGACGTGCTTAAACCACAAGCTTCAGAGACGTGCTGAAGCTTCAAGCTTCAATGACGATCTGAAGCCTCAAGCTTCAGGGACGTGCTGAAGCGTCAAGCTTCCTGGACGTGCTGAAGCGTCAAGCTTCCTGGACGTGCTGAAACCTCAGCTTTATGGAAGTGCTGAAGCCTCAAGCTTCAGGGACGTGCTTAAGTTACAAGCTTCAGGGACGTGCTAATGCCGCATCACAGCCAGAGTGGGGCCACAGCCACCAGATGGGGAGGCAAGCACCAGCAGGTGGAGGCATCACCAGGAGGGGCATCACCACGAGTGGGGCACACAGCCAGAGGGGGCCATGCAGCATGGCACACAGCAGTGAGCCAGAGGATGCATATCAGCAGCGAGTGGGCATCACCAGTGCACAGAGGGGATCACCAGCCAGAGTGGGGCATCACCAGCAGCCAGAGTGGGGCATCCCGCAATCACCAGCAGCCAGAGTGGGGATCACCCAGTCAACCAGAGTGGGGCATCACAGTCAGCCAGAGTGGGGTCACCAGTCAGCCAGAGTGGGGCATCAAGTGTCAGAGTCAGCAGAGTGGGGCATACCAGTCAGCCAGAGTGGGGACCAGCAGTCAGGGGCATCACAGTCAGCCAAGTGGGCATCATCACAGTCAGCACCGAGTGGGGATCACAGTCAGCCAGAGGGGGCATCACCAGTCAGCCATGAGTGACACATGCCAGATGGGGCAGTCACCAGTGGCAGAGTGGGGGATCACAGTCAGCCAGAGTGGGGCATCACCAGGCCAGATGCATCACCAGTGCAGTCACAGCAGCCGAGGGGGGATACCAGTCAGCCAGAGTGGGCATCAGCAAGGGCATCAGCCAGATGGGGCATCACCAGCCAGCCAGAGGGGGCATCACCAGTCCAGAGTGGGGGATCACCAGCCAGAGGTGGGCATCACGCAGCCAGATGGGGGCATCACACCAGTCAACAGCACAGGGGGGACACCACCAGCGAGTGGGGCACACAGTCAGCAGATGGGCATCCAGCCAGCCAGTGGGGCATCACCAGAGTCGAGTGGCATCCCAGTCACCAGATGGAGCATCACCAGTGGGCAGCCCAGCAGTGGGGGCATCACAGCCAGCAGTGGGGCATCACCAGAGTGGGGGCATCACGCAGAGTGGCCACAGAGGGCATCACACAGGCCAGAGTGGGGCATCACACCAGAGGGGACCACGGCACACACGAGGGCACCAGGTCACAGCGGCTCAAGTGTGGGCACACAGTCAGCCAGAGTGGGGCATCACGTCAGCCAGATGGGCATCCCATCAGCGATGGGAGTCAGCCAGAGTGGGAGTCACCAGTCAGGGGGCATCACCAGAGTGGCATCACAGTCAGCAAGTAGTGGCATCACCAGCAGCCAGAGTGGAGCATCACAGTAGCCAGAGTGGACCAGCAGGGGGATCACAGCCAGAGTGCACCAGGTGCATCCAGGCATCACCAGCAGGAGGGGGCATCAGCACAGTCAGCCAAGTGCAGAGTGGGAGCATCACCAGTCAGCTCAGCCAGAGTGGGGCATCACCAGTACCAAGTGGGATCACCAAGCAAGTGGATCACACCAGCAGAGAGATGGAGCATCCAGTAGCAGTCACCAGACAGCGAGGGGCTCACCAGTCAGCCAGAGTGGGGCACAATGGCCAGTAGCACAGAGATGGGGCATCACCACCAGCCAGAGTGGGGCCACCAGCCAGCCAGAGGGGGCATCACTCAGCCAGGTGGCCACAGCAGCAGAGTGGGGGATCCAGTCAGCCAGTGGCACCAGCAGGTGGAGGCTTCACCAGTCCAGCCAGAGTGGGGGCATCACCAGTCAGCCAGAGTGGGGATCACAGTCAGCAGAGTGGGGCTCACCAGTCAGCCAGAGTGGGCAGTCAGCCGGTCAGACAGTGGGGCATCACCAGTCAGCCAGAGTGGGAGGCATCACCAGTCAGCCAGAGGGGCTCACCAGTGCAGCCACGAGGGGACCACCACTGCAACCAGAGTGTGGGCATCACCAGTCAGCCAGAGGGGGCACATCAGGCCAGTGGGCATCCAGTCGAGAGTGAGCATCACCAGTCAGCCAGAGTGAGGCTACCAGCCAGAAGGACCACCAGCAGAGTGGGCATCACATCAGCCAGAGCGGGGATCACCAGCAGCCAGAGTGGGGCTCACAGTCAGCAGAGTGGGCTCACAGCAGAGTGGGGCATCACAGCCAGGGGACTCAGCAGCAGAGTGTGGCACATCACCAGTCAGCCAGAGTGGGGTACATCAGCCAGTGCCAGAGTGGGGCACCAGCAGGGTGGACATCACCAGTCGAGGGGCATCAAGCAGGTGGCATCACAGTCCCAGAGTGGGGCACACAGTCAGCCAGATGGGGACAGTCGTCACCAAGTGGAGGGCATCACCATCAGCCAGAGTGGGCACATCAGCCAGTGGGCACCGAGCCAGAGTGGGGGCACGTCAGCCAGTCAGCCAGAGTGGGGGACATCACCAGCAGCCGAGTGGGGCATCACCAGGTCAGCAGGTGGGAGCAGTCACCAGAGTGGAGGCTCGCCAGTCAGTCAGCCAGTGCGCGAGAGGGCCACCAGTCAGCCAGAGTGGGGCCATCACAGTCAGCCGAGTGGGGCTCACCAGTCAGCCAGAGTGGGGCTACCAGCCAGTCACCAGAGGGGGCTCACCAGTCCAAGTGGGACACAGAGAGGACACAAGCTTGAGGGACGTGCCGAAACCTCATGTCTCAGGGACGTGCTTATGCCTCAAGCTTCAGGGACGTGATGAATCCTCAATCTTCAGGGTCGTCCTGAAGCCTCAAGCTTCAGGGACGTGCTGAATTACTAAAGCCTGAAGCTTCAGGGACCTGCTGAAGCCTCAAGCTTCCGGGACTTGCTGAATCCTCAAGCTTGAGGGACGTGCTGAAGCCTCAACATTGAAGGACGTGGTGAACCCTCATGCCTCAGGGACGTGCTTAAGCCTCAATCTTCAGGGACGTGATGAATCCTCAATCATCATGGACGCGCGGAAGCCTTAAGCTTCAGGGACGTGCTGAAGTCTCAAGCTTCATTGACGTGCTGATGCCTCAAGCTTCAGAGACGTGCTGAATCGTCAAGCTTCAGGGACTTGTTGAAGCCTCAAGCTGCAGAGACGTGCTTTAGCCACAAGCTTCAGAGACATTCTGAAGCCTCAAGCTGCACGGACATGCTGAAGCCTTAAGCTTGAGGGACGTGCTGAACCCTCAAGCTTGAGGGACGTGCTGAACCCTCATGTCTCAGGGACGTGCTTAAGCCTCAAGCTTCAGGGACGTGATGAATCCTCAATCTTCAGGGTCGTCCTGAAGCCTCAAGCTTCAGGGACGTACTGAAGCCTCAAGCTCCAAGGACTTACTAAAGCCTAAAGCTTCAGGGACCTGCTGAAGCCTCAAGCATGAGGGACGTGCTGAAACCTCATGTCTCAGGGACGCTCGGAAGCTTTAGGCTTCAGGCACGAGCTGAAGCTTCAAGCTTAAGGGACCTGCTGAAGCCTCAAGCTGCAGGGACGTACTTAAGCCACAAGCTTCAGAGACGTGCTGAAGCCTCACGCTGCAGGTACGTGCTTAAGCCACAAGCTTCAGAGACGTGCTGAAGCCTCAAGCTATAATGACGTGCTGATGCCTCAAGCTTCAGGGACGTGCTGAAGCGTCAAACTTCAGGGACTTGTTGAAGCCTCAAGCTGCAGGTACGTTCTTAAGCCACAAGCTTATGAGACGTTCTGAAGCCTCAAGCTGCACAGACTTCCTTAAGCCACAAGCTTCAGAGACGTGCTGAAGCCTCAAGCTTCAAGGACGTGCTGATGCCTCAAGCTTCAGGGACGTGCTAAAGCCTCAAGCTTCAGGGACGTGCTGAAGCCTCAAGCTTCAGAGACGTGCTGAAGCCTCAAGCTTCAGGGACGTGCTGAAGCGGCAAGCTTCCTGGACGTGCTGAAGCGTCAAGCTTCAGGGAAGTGCTGAAGCCTCGAGCTTCAGGGACGTGTTTAAACCACAAGCTTCAGAGACGTGATGAGGCCTTAAGCTGCAGGGACGTGCTTCAGACACAAACTTCAGAGACGTGCTGAAGCCTCAAGCTTCAACAACGTGTTGAAAACTCAAGCTTCAGGGACACGCTGAAGCGTCAAGCTTCAGGGACTTGCTAAAGCCTCAAACTGCAGGGACGTGCTTAAAACACAAGCTTCAGAGACGTGCTGAAGCTTCAAGCTTCAATGACGATCTGAAGCCTCAAGCTTCAGGGACGTGCTGAAGCGTCAAGCTTCCTGGACGTGCTGAAACCTCAGCTTTATGGAAGTGCTGAAGCCTCAAGCTTCAGGGACGTGCTTAAGCCACAAGCTTCAGGGACGTGCTAAAGCCTCAAGCTTCAGAGACGTGCTGAAGCCTCAAGCTGCAGGGACGTGCTTAAGCCACAAGCTTCAGAGACGTGCTGAAGCCTCAAGCTTCAAGGAAGTGCTGAAGCCTCAAACTTCAAGGACGTGGTGAATTCTCAAGCTTCAGGGACTTGCTGAATCCTCAAGCTTGAGGGACGTGCTGAACCCTCAAGCTTGAGGGACTTGCTGAACCCTCATGTCTCAGGGACGTGCTTAAGCCTCAACCTTCAGGGACGTGATGAATCCTCAATCTTCCGGGTCGTCCTGAAGCCTCAAGGTTCAGGGACGTGCTGAAGCCTCAAGCTCCTAGGACTTACTAAAGCCTCAAGCATCAGAGACCTGCTGAAGCCTCAAGCTTCAGGGACGTGTTTCAGCCACAAATTTCAGAGACGTGCTGAAGCCTCAAGCTGCAGGGACGTGCTTAAGACACGAGCTTCAGAGACGTGCTGAAGCCTCAACCTTAAGGGACGTGTTGAAGACTTTAGCTGCAGGGACGTGCTAAAACTTGTTGAAGCCTCAAGCTGCAGAGACGTGCTTATGCCACAAGCTTCAGAGACGTTCTGAAGCCTCAAGCTGCACGGACATGCTGAAGCCTAAAGCTTCAGGGACGTGCTGAAGCTTCAAGCTTTCTGGACTTGCTGCAGCCTTAAGCTTCAGGGAAGTGCTGAAGCCTCAAGCTTCAATGACGGCTGCACATGTTTCAGCCTGACAAGTTTCAGAGACGTGCTGAAGCCTCAAGCTGCAAGGACGTGCTTAAGATGCACAAGCTTCAGAGGGACGTGCTGAAGCCTCAAGCTTCAATGACGTGCTGCAGCCTCAAGCTTCAGGGACGTGCTTAAGCCACAAGCTTCAAAGACGTGCTACAGCCTGAAGATTCAGGGACGTGCTGAATCCGCAAGCTTCAGTGACGTGCTGAAGCCTCAAGCTTCAGAGAAGTTCTGAAGCCTCAAGCTTCAAGGACGTGCTGAAGCCTCAAGCTGCAGGTACGTGCTTAAGCCACAAGCTTCCGAGACGTGCTGAAGCCTCAAGCGTCAATGACGTGCTGAAGCGTCAAGCTTCAGGGACTTGTTGTAGCCTCAAGCTGCATGGACGTGCTTAAGCCTCAAGCTTCAAGGACGTGCTGAAGCCTCAAACTTCAAGGACGTGCGGAATTCTCAAGCTTCTGGGACGTGCTGAACCCTCAAGCTTGAGGGACATCCTAAAGCTTCAAGTTTCCGGGACGTGCTGAAGCCTCAAGCTCCTAGGACTTACTAAAGCCTCAAGCTTCAGGGACCTGCTGAAGCCTCAAGCATGAGGGACGTGCTGAAACCTCATGCCTCAGGGACGCGCGGAAGCTTTAAGCATCAGGGACGTGCTTATACCTTTAGCTTAAGGGACGTGCTGAAGCCTTAAGCTGCAGGGACGTGCTTAAGCCACAAGCTTCAGGGATGAGCTGAAGCCTCAAGCTTAATGGACGTGCTGAAGCCTCAAGCTGCAAGTACGTGCTTAAGCCATAAGCTTCAGAGACGCGCTGAAGCCTCAAGCTGCAGGTACGTGCTTAGGCCACAAGCTTCAGAGACGTGCTGAAGCCTCAAGCTTCATTGACGTGCTGATGCCTCAAGCTTCAGGGACTTGCTAAAGCCTCAAGCTTCAGAGACCTGCTGAAGCCTCAAGCATAAGGGACGTGCTGAAACCTGATGTCTCAGGAACGCGCGCAAGCTTAAGCTTCAGGGACGTGCTAAGGCCTCAAGCTTCCGAGACGTGCTGAAGCCTCAAGCTGCAGGTATGTGCTTAAGCCATAAGCTTCGTGCTACAACCTCAAGATTCAGGGACGTGCTGAATCCTCAAGATTCAGTGACGTGCTGAAGCCTCAAGCTTCAGAGATGTTCTGAAGCCTCAAGCTTCAGGGACGTGCTGAAGCCTCAAGTTTTAGAGACGTGCTGAAGCCTCAAGCTTCAGGGACGTGCTAAAGCCTCAATCTTCAGGGACGTGCTGAAGCCTCAAGATTCAGGGACGTGCTGAAGCATCATACTTCAGA